AGTGTTTCTCTTCGGACCCCTCTGAGAGCCGAGTCAGTGCCTGGGTAAATGTTGTGAGAGGGCACCTGCTTCAGTCACCGACGTCCCCGTGATGAGACGCTGACACTGTCGTGCAGGACATTCCCAGTGCAAAATTCACTTAGAACTTGGCCTTCTCAGAAAGGGAAGGGAGATGTCTTTCCTAAGCCATCTGCCCAGGGCTCCCAGGGACTGGACATGTGGGAGCGGGGCCAGGCCGTGGCTCAGGGCAAATGGATATGGTGAGCCCGGCACGTGGAACCCCGAGCAGCTGCCAGAACGAGCGTGTGAGAGGAGCCCACCTCTCCTGGCCACGTCACGAGGGTGGAAGCCTAGAAGCAGACGCTCCCCAGGACCCTGCCTCTGGCCCCTCCTCCTCCGCCTCCTGCTTCGAGGGACTGTGGCAGCCAGAATTGGGTCCTGGGCCTGGCCTCCCCCTGGGACCCCTGGTTGGGCTTGGACAAGGATCTCGTCCCCTCCCCTGTAGCTTATGGGGCTGTTAGCCAGTTCTTTATTTTGTTGTAATTTGTCTCTGCAGCTCGTACCTGTCAGTTTCCCCTAGACCCTAGGCTCCAGGACAGGGGTGGTATTCACTCTGTGCGCTGTCCCCTGGTGCCCAGAACAGCGCCGACACATGTGGGCACTCAGAAGAGCTCTGTCGAACGGGTGGTCCCAGCTGAGCCAGGAGTTACTCAGAACAAGGGCAGGTTTTTCGTGTTTGGGCTGCTACTTACCATGTTTAAAGAGAAGTCTCGTGTCCTGCCTCACCACGTGCATCTGCACCTTCCAAGGCCGACAGCCACTCCTTGTGACGTGTGTCAGGCTCTCACCTCCTTCCCTGCCACAGAATTCTCCCCGGCAACTCGCTGCCTCTCCTCGCCCCTCAGTGTGAGTTCCAGTGCCCATGCAGGTGGGTGCAGGTTGTGACCCACATCCGGTCACGTGGGTCTAAGCGTGGCCTGTGAGGGTCAGAGTGAAGCCAAGCCACCCCTACCCTCTGGGAACTGCAGGCCCTGGTCGGCAAGATGTCGGGGTGCACTCAGCACTCTGCTGTCCGTCCACACCTCCCACACAGCCTCAGCCGGGTGGGCACAAGTGTCTGCAGTGGTGGCTGAGTCTGAGCCGCCAATGTGTACGCTCAGAACTCTGCTGTCTGTCATGCTTCCTGACAGAGTCTGTCACTCACAGCCTGTCACCCTCATTTCATCTTGATTTATTATCAGACCTAATGGGTTTGGGGAGCAGCTGTCTCCCAGGGATGGGACCATCAATCTAGGAGATGGCTGTGTAGCTCTGCTCCTCCAGCAGCCATGGGAGGGAGGAGCCAGGGACCACGGGGTGTGGTCACAAGGGCAGGGGCCAGGTCGCCAGATGGGTGCCTCTAGTCCAGGACCCCTCGAGGTTGGAGCTGCCGGCATCGGGCCCTCCTGCTTCTTTCCCGTCCCTCCCTCTCTGCCCCTCCATTACAACGTGAAGCCTGGGGTGTCACTCGTTTCTTTTGAACTTGCCAACTTGGAGACCAGGCGGGAACATTTGTCCTTCCCTCTCCAACCCTGAGAACATAGCCCAGCGCCTACCCTGTGTCCTCAGAGTGACCACGGTGGGGGGAACCGAAAGTCTCCCGTGGCTCACACTTCCACCGCCTCTTCCCAAGCTTTGCTGGGCTCATCTGCCCAGAGCCAGCCCTCAGTGCGTTCCAAGCCCAGGCTCTGTTCCCGGGGCGTCTGCTCCGGGAGTCCTGTACCCTTCTTGGGAGAGCTTCTCAGCTTGGAGCGCTGTGCTTGTCACATGCTGCTCCGACGAATGGCCCCCTTCCCCCTGACTGGAGCCTGCGTGTCCCAAGAGCAGGGTAGGGCCTGGCCCCCAGCAGATGCTCCCTCAGGAGCCAGGGAGTGAGTGAAGCCCCCAGCTTTCCCATGCTGACAAGTCACACAGCTGTGTGAGCTTCCAACAGAGCGGTGCCAGTGTGGCTGATGGGTGTGGGGCTCACCCAGGGTGGCCCCAGGTGAGACTGTCCCCTCCTGGGCCTTTTCCAGGAGCTGCAGCTCCACAAAGCGGCCACTTTTTAATTCTCCCAAAATTGCCTCCCAAGAGCCTCTTGAGTCTTCATTCCTGGATGGGATCCAGCATCTAACCCCTGGAGGTAGATCCGATTTTTGGAAATAGACTTGTGTAAGACAGCAAGGTGGGGGGCTAGTCCTGGTGACAGCATTGTGATGCAAACCTAATTATAACTGGAAGATTGTAAGATAAGTTTTCTTATCTCTCACAGCCATGCCTTTGTAAGCCATCCTGAAAGTTCTAGAAAATGCCCTATGTCGTCATTGATGTAAACACACAGCCCCCAAGATACTGACTCCAGACTGTCAGTAGTTGTACGCTCAGGGTGGGGGTTGCCTATGCATTCGTGTGCTTTAAAAACTCTGTCTCCTGCCTTTGGGGAACTTCCATAATTATGTCGCGGGAAGGACAGCTCCCCTGCCGCCCTCCCCCCGCCATTGGCTGTCCAGACCGCTCACCCTGGAGTCAGCAAGCCTGCCCGTCCTACAGCTTACAGGGATGTAGAGTTGAGGATGAAGGTGGGCAGAGAGGCACTAGCCAGCCTCCAGGGCTGGAGGCAGCAGGGACTGGGAGTCGCTGGCTCTCTGCCTTCCCCACTGCGCCCATGGCCCAGAGCCCGAGCCACAGGGACAGCTCCTCCACTGGCCTGTTTCCAAGCTGTGAGTCACACCAGGTCACGAGGTGACACCTGAAGTGGTGCTAGCAGAGCAGGGTTTGGATCTTGCCTTGCAGCGGCTGACCACCCCTACCTATGGCAGGACCGCCAGCCGCAACCTCTTTCCTCTTTTTTTTTTTCTTTTTAAATTTAAATCCAAGTTAGGTAACATAGAGTGTAATAATGGTTTCAGGAGTAGAATTTGGTGACTCATCACTTACCTGTAACCCCAAGTGCTCATTCCAACAAGTGACCTCTTTAATGCCCAGCCCCCACCCAACACCCCTCCAGCAACCCTTTTCGTTCTCTGTATTTAAGAGTCTCTTATGGTTTGCCTCCCTCTCTGTACCTTATTTTCCTTCCCTTCTTCTGTGTTCATCTGCTTTGTTTCCTAAATTCCACATATGAGTGAAATCATATGTGAAATATAAAATCTTTCTCTGATATATTTGCTTTGCATAATACACTCTAGTTCCACCCACGTTGTTGCAAATGGCAAGATTTCATTCTTTTTGATCACCAACTTCTATTCCACAATATATATACCACATCTTCTCTATCCATTCATCAGTTGTTGGACATTTGGGCTCTTTCCATAATTTGGCTGCTATTGATAGTCGCTGCCTCCTGAGTAGCTAATCACCAGGCTCCCCAGGGCCCCCCAGACTGCCAGCTCTGGCTTGTAACCCTTCCTGGCCCGACAGACTCCCTGACACAGGGCCTTCGGCCTCCACCCTGCCCCAGCGCCCTTCTGTGCTGCGGTTCTTCCACACGGATCTCTGCCCTACACACCCCTCCTGCACTCACCCCCAGAGACCTGATGGGCCAGGCTGCCGGCATCCTGGGCTGTCCTATCGCCCCCCCCAGAAGGTTAATCCAGAGGCAGACCCCACAGGAGGGGCTGGGTCTCCACTTTCGCCTTGACCGATCAGAGCACGGAAGGAAGATGGGCCGCATCTCTGAGCAGCAACAGTCGTGAGGCACTCTGAGTCAGTAGTAGCCGGAGCGGCTGAAGAGGAAACAGACCATCTTCTTTATTGGCAGTTTGCACAGGCCTCTTCCCTTTCTCCTCCCCCCCACCGGCTGCTGTCCCCGGTGTCAGACGTTTCTGATTAAAAGTGATAGATGATGCTTCTGTCCATCGCACTCCCAAGTGTCACTGTGAGGGACACTGGTCTGGCTTTCCGTGAGTCCCAGGAGAAAGACCACCTTCTTCCAGAGAGCCAGAGAGTGTGATGTGGCCTCAGGGGATGGTGGGGAGGGGCCACGTGCTTGGGACAGGCCGGCCTCTTTCAGCCCGCTGCCCCTTTCCCTGCCTGCCCGTGTGGCCCAACGAGAGACATAAGTGTCCTTAGAGGGGCCATCAGATCCGGTCTGAATAGACACAGCAGGGATTGGAGGACACCAGTAGCACCCGTGCATGTTGAGTGGCTAACGGTGACGGTTCTGGGCACCCTGGATAGCGGGTGCAGGAAGCCAGAGACGGAGCGGCGCCAGCCGGATGTAGAGGTGTGTCTGCATTCGGGGGCCTTACGTCCTGGAGCCTCAGCTGACGAGCCCGGCTCCCGGTATAAGACCCTTAGGAGGGCTGTCAGGGCCCCGTTTGCTCTGAGCAGACAGTCCTAGGCCCCCTTCTGCCCTATATGAAACCTGGGTCAGAGTCACTTGTCCCCTACCACTGCCACCAGGCCCAGGAGAACAGAGCCATGTGCCATTTGCCTCTAGCCTTGGTCTTGGTGTCCTGCCTCCTGCCTGGTATAGGCCCCTGGGCGCCCACCTCTGCGCAGAGCTGCCGGCACACTTTCCCACTTCCCCCTCAGATGCCTCGAGCCAGTGCCCAGAAGGACGCCCCCCCCCAAATGCTGTGTGCCCCTCCCATCCCCGCCCCCCACTTCCTATACATACATTCTCTAAGCCAACGGAGGGAGGGGAGCACAAGTTCTGGCCTAGGCCTGCTCCAACAAAAGCCCCCCAAGGGAGCTGGGCAGGGCCTGGCCTGGAGCACACCCCCACCCACCCGTACAGCCCCTTCTCAGGCCCAGGCCCCCCTGAGAGACCCAGTCCCTTATCCTCTGGGGAGGGGCGTGCGGTCTACAGCCACTGCTGACCTGCCCCAAGATGCGGCCATCAGGGTCCCGTGAACTTCGTGATTCACCTGGCACTCTGGTCCCTGGGCAGGTGCCACCGAGCCGACACCCAACCCCCCTGCCCCCCCCGGGAAGGGCTGATTCCTGCTCAGCTGCCCAACCACCCTCTTTTCTTTCAGCTTTTGCCATCATGATCGTGCTGGCCCTGGTCCGCATCGGGAACGGGCACAGGGAAGGGCACCCACCCCTGGCTGACTTCTCCGGGGTCCGGAACCTGTTTGGGGTGTGCGTCTACTCCTTCATGTGCCAGCATTCGCTGCCATCCCTCGTCACACCGGTGTCCTCCAAGCGCCACCTCACACGCCTGGTCTTCCTGGACTACGTGCTCATCCTCGCCTTCTATGGCCTCCTCTGCTTCACCGCCATCTTCTGCTTCCGCGGCGACAGCCTCATGGACATGTACACCCTCAACTTCGCACGCTGCGACGTCGTGAGCCTGGCTGCTGTGCGCTTCTTCCTGGGCCTCTTCCCCGTCTTCACCATCAGCACCAACTTCCCCATCATCGCCGTGACCCTCCGCAACAACTGGAAGACGCTCTTCCACCGCGAGGGGGGCACGTACCCCTGGGTGGTGGACCGTGTGGTGTTCCCTACCATCACCCTGCTGCCCCCAGTGCTGGTGGCCTTCTGCACCCATGACCTGGAGTCCCTGGTGGGCATCACGGGTGCCTACGCAGGCACAGGCATCCAGTACGTCATCCCCGCCTTCCTGGTGTACCACAGCCGCAAGGACACCCAGCTGGCCCTGGGCTACGGGACCGTCAACAAGCACAGGTCCCCTTTCCGCCACACCTTTTGGGTGGGCTTCGTGCTGCTCTGGGCTTTCTCCTGCTTCTTCTTTGTCACCGCCAACATCATCCTCAGCGATACCAAGGTCTGATGGCGGCATGTGTCTGGTGACGAGAGAGGCAGGGCCTCCACTCTGGCCCCCACACTCACCTTCCCACCTGCGGAGCCAAGAGCTGATCCCTTCCCAGGGTCTCACGGGGCAGGCGAGCCCAGACTCGTGGAGGGGACCCTCCATGCCTCCTGCCGGGGGCCTTCTCCCCACCCAGGATCTCGCACAGTCCACACCTCGCCTCACTTGGCAGGGCGGCCCGGCTCCCGGAGCTGCCGCTGGCCAGCCTAGCCGCACGACCCGGGCACACGGCTGGCCCAGTTCCAGGACTAGTTACTGCTTTACGTGCCAGGGGCGGGCGCCTCCCTCCCGCACAGTGGGGACAGTGCTGGCACTCCCGTTATTTATACTAGAGGCCGCGTCCCCTCCTCCTCCGTCCAGCCCCTCCTGCATCCTCGTCCGGGAAAATTCCTCCACTGTAACTGCTGCCTCCTCAGGGCAAATCCCAGGCCCTAAAGTCTCCCCACCAGGGCTGCCAGTGACAGGCAGGTCCCACCTTCCCGTCAGGCCTGGCGTGGCCGGGTGCTGCTCCAGTCCCGGGAGAAGGGAAGAATGACAGGAACAGGAAGTGCCGACTGGCACCAGGGTCCCTGGACTGTGGCTCTGAGGTCCTCGTGTGGGTGCCAGCAGGTGACTCAGGAGCAGTCCTTCCTCGGGGCGCAGCAGCCCGGCAGCCGGTTTAAAGCCCAGAGCCTGTGACCCCTCAGAGGGATTCTCTGCTCTCCTGACTGCCCTGTTGGGGCCCGTGCATAACAACCACTAAAGGGAACTACCCCCACCCAGCATTGCGGTGGCTTAGGGGCACCCTGGGCACGTAGCGGTGAGCGGGCTCTGCGTCCCCCCCTGTCAGAGGTCGGGCCTGCGGAGCAGCAGTAGGCTTGGCTGTCCCTGCTCCCACTCCAGCACTAAACGTGGCTCCCTTTTGAGCCAGGCTCTGGGTGCTCTCTCCGTACTCTCCGTGACCTTTGGGTGCTGTGGACTGAGATGGGGCACCAGCCACCATTCTCATGGAAGGAGAGGTGGCTTCCTGGCCCCGTCACCAGCTCTTCCATGGTCCCCTCCCTGTCACAGGCATGCGTGTCCCTGCTGGGCCAGCCCTTCTCAGAAACACAGGTGACTAGCGGGCTCTGCATTTTCAATGTGCCTTCTGCTTCAGGACCTGGGGGTCCTTCCTGACCCCTCCCTGGCGTGCCCCCAGCCCAGGGGCTGGCCCCACCAGTCCTGGAGCCCAAAGCAGCCTGGCCTGGAGCTGCCTCTCTCGGGTGGGGTGGCAGGCCCCCACCCCCTCCCCGTTTTGATTTCAGTGCCTTGCTCAGCTCTCATTAGGGAACCTCCGCTGCCTTCCCTGCATGGTGCAGTGCTTATATCTTGGACGGAGCGACACCACCAGGTCTCCTGGGGTCCTTGGTGGTCTTGGAAGGAGAGGGAGGAGGACCTGGGGCGTCCCCAGGCAGTGCCGCCCCCGCCCGTGGCTGCCCCAGCCTGTGAGAATCCCTGGCCACGATGGGCCGTGGTCTGCTTTCTAACTGCTGCCGCACATCTCACAGCCTGTCCCCAAGTGTCGTGATTGTCCATCCATGTGGAAAATAGATGACCCTTCCCCATCTGCCATTGTGGCTTCTTCCCAGGAGGCCCCACCCCCAGGTGGGCAGAGCAGAGAGGGCCCCCGGGTGATGGGCACCCATGGCTTGGGCCGACCTGCAGCTGCCCAGCTGTTTCTGGAAACTCAGAACATCTGTCCTTACCCTTCTCCATTTACACTCCCTCTTGCTTAAGGACAAAGCAAATTAAATCATTCTGCCGCCCCAGGCTCCAAACCAAATTTTGGACTCGAATTTATTAGCATCATAAAGCCCAGGTTGATTAATGTGACAATCTGGAGCCACACAGCGGTGCAGTCGGGTGTCTGTGTTCCCCTCCCCCCCCCCCCCCCCCCCCCCCGAGCTGGACAGCCCCAGGCCTGGAGGGATAGGTGGCCACATCCCTGATGGTACCCCCGGGTGCTCACCGCTGCCACTGTCTGGGATCCTTTACAGCTCTGTGTTCACCTGCTGGAGGTCAGATGGGGTCGCCTTCCTCTCTACTGCTGATGGCCAGGGGGCTGGGGCAGGGGGCACAAGGCCCAACAGCCAGACAGAACCCCGGTGATGCTCGTTCACCACGTGCATCAGGCACACTTGGCTGCAAGTGCTTACGTCAGGGTAATGAGGGGGATGAGCGGGATCATGATTTCCGTTTTACAGACGGGCCCCCCCGGGGTCAGTGGCAGGGAGGGCAGAAGAGGATGCAGGCCCAGCCTGGTCTGGGTACAGATGTCGCTGTGGAGGAGGACATAAATCCGCCAGCCTCCACCCGGTGCCTTTCACCCGCACTGCCCCAGATTGGCCCCAAGGGCAGGCCAGGCCAAGGTGGGAGTTTGTGTTCCCTCGTGCCCGTTTTGCCACCAGCTCCTGCCTGTTCCCTCACCTGAGTCCAGAGAGGTGGCTGCGGGCTTATCGACGGGGCAGATGGCAGGTGACAGGCTGGGAGGCACTGCTGAGTGGTGGACGGTGGGCAGCAGGCACCTTGCCAGGCCCTTAGCTACACAGCTGTTCTCGCCACACGGGGGCCAGAAGCAGCCCCAGCAATAGGCGGAGACTAGAGTCAGAGTAGTGGTGGGGTTGGGGGGGTCCTGGGGGGGCCACTCCCCACCTCATGAGAAACCAGCCCCGGGGGAGGACTCTGGCAGTGCCAGGCACCAGGGCCACGTGACTGAGGGCAGGGGTAAGACCGAGCCCACAGCTGTCTCAGGGTCGGATTCTTGGGCAGGGCTGACACCCGGTTGGCTATGCTAATGGCCACTGAAAAGCTGGCTGTCCTGTAAAACCGAGATCCAGCACTGCAGGAGAGTTTTGCAGCCCCTCCTCCCTGGGGCTGGGGCTCATGGTGGCGTCGGATGGAGAAAAGGAGAAGTGATAGCTTCTCAGTGCCTGGTATGTGCCAGGCACAGTGCTAGGTGCTTCCCATGTGGACCTTAGCGTAATCTGGGGATTAAGACCATGGACCAGGAAGGCAGACCTGCCGCTCTCGGGCAACGAGCCTTCTGCTCTTCCTCGTCTCTGCTCTTCCTCATCATTGGTCACACGGGGGTGATAGTACCTGCACCGACTGGTTGTGGGAACTTAAGTACTGAGCTTAGTGCCTGGCACAGACGTGCTCAATAAAGCTATTATGTACTGATGCCTGGCTCCCTCGTCACTTGCCAGCCATAACCGCACTAGTAGCCACGGACCCCAGACTCATTGAAGACCCCCCGTTTGGGTCCCCAGGCACCTGATTGATTCCATAGCCTCCTGTTGAATTGTAGCAACTGCCTGCTACAGTTCAGAAACAAACTGGTCCCAATTCTTCAGCTCTGGAGGGCTTTTGCGGAGAAAGTAGTCTCTCTCTGGCTCCCGGGGACTTAAGGACCCTTTCAAAGAGTCAAACCGAGGCCCGGCTGGAGCGTTCTAGAATCGGGACTAAAGCCCAGGTATCCTGACATAGGCCATCTTGCCCACTCTTTGCTAAGCTCTTTGCCCCCTGCCTGCCCACGGGCCCCAGGAAAGAGGTGGTGTGGGCCACAAGGCTCTCAGTAAAGCCTGATGAGGAAATAGCCCCCCAGCAGCAGAGTGACACAGATGGGACAGGTGACCGAGGGCCTCCCTCTTGTGTCCCACCGAACGAAAAAGCCAGCATCTGGGTGGGTTCAGCTTGCTCTTTGCTACACAGTCGGGCCCTTGTTTATGATGATTAATCATCCATGGCCTTGCGACAGCTCCCTCCTCTCCCCTGCCAGGCTTTCTGCCCTCTTCTCGGTAGTGCAGGGCCCTTCCGTGGTCCTCTGTAGAGGTGCAGGGGGCATCGTGGCTCAGAGCAAGAGGCTGGGCAAGGTCTGAACCCTCAGTAGGCATCTTCCCTGCCTCCACTTCTGCCCAGAAGACATTCCTGGAGGAGGAATGAGGCAGCCAAGAGCCTGACTCCAAGAGCAGGATGCCTCTTCGGAGCCAGTCAGCAGCAGGCTCAGCTCCATGTTTGGCTTTTAATTATTTTTCCGGTTCCTGGTTATTAATGAACTTGGGCAGTGAGCGGAAAGCAGCCTGGACCTCAAGACTCCTCCCAGCTTACCTGCTGCAGCCTTTCAGCCAGAGCTGCTCTCATTCAGGGAGCAGGAGGGGTCAGGTTCAGAGGCTGGTAGGTCCAGGGGCTTAACTCTCTCACCACCGGTGGCTGCATTCAAGTTCAAGCTCCCTTCCAAGGCCTCGAGCACTTACCTAGACCCACATTTACCACCTGTGGCTGAGGTCCCCCGTCCCCACTGCTGTCCTGGACCTGGATCCGTGAAGTCCACAACGGGGCAGAGGACATGAACTTGACTGTAATGGACTGGGGCCGCCCATTCTGGGCATAGTCCATCCAGCTCTCCAGAAATAAAGAAATTTCCCCCACTCTAGCATCTCAGCTGCCCTCATGTCTAAAACCAAACACAAAACTTCAGTTTTCATGGCCTCACCCCCAGTAGTGGAGTGTTTGGAGACTGGAAAGGGAACCCAGTTTCCTGGGATCCAGTAAGGATGTGTGGAAAAGGGCATGGGGCAGCGGCTGCACGTGACATTGGCATCAGCACCCTGGCCTCCTCCCTGTTACATGGAGGTAATTTCTGCCCTGCCTCACCCAACTTGTCAAGGACAGCAAGGCCTCAGGCTTTACATGTTCACAGTTGGAAAAGGTCTGACGGCACCAATCACACTTACCGCGTTTGGGGAATGAATGGAAGAATGAGTGCTTACTGTACAGTCATTGTGGGGGTTCCACGTAACCACCGATGTGTAACCACTGAAAGTTGTAAGCAAGAGCCATCTTTCTAGATGGTCCAGGACAATGACATGTGACAGAGAAAGGAGGTGGGGCTGGGAGCCCAGAGGGAGGGTGAAGGACTGAGACATCCAGCAGATTCTCTGACCGCCCACCCACCCCCGCCACCGAGGGGTCCCGGCACCAGCAAGGCTGAGCTGTGTCTGACCTCAGAAGCCACCTGTGTCGGGACTCCAGAGCCAGCAGGCAGTTCGGAGCCCTGCACATCCACCAGGGAGAGAATACAGCCAGCTGGGGCCCAGGTGAGCCCACAGCAGACCTCCCTCTGCCGTCTCCACCGTGACATCATCAGACTTCCAGGTGGGCCTCTGGCAAAGCAGGACACCCACAGCCCCTGGCATGAGCCTCTCTTTTCAAGGAGACTGAAGGATGAACTCCGTCCGTCACCACCACAGCCCTCGTGCTGAGCACATTTGTCACATCCAGCACCAGGGTGGGTAGGAGCTGCCACTGAATACCAAGTGGCTCTGCTGCCCAGAGCCCTCTCTCAGCCTTATCTCCCAGATAAGCTGCCCACCTTCTCTAGGCAGACACCACGCCTGGGATACCCCCAAGGTGCTCTATTGCCTATAGGCTATGGTGTGCCACCCTCCACCCCCAGGGATGCAGAATGAGGCCGCCAGGACCAGTGGGTTGTAAAAGATTTGTTTAATGACCCACTGCTCTGAGAAGAAACTCCAGTCAGGGAGGGCAAGGGGTGGCACAGCCCTGCCCCCACCCCGAGTTCTTCCAGCCACCATGCTCCCACACCAGGCCCCCAGCAGTTGTGACTAGGAACTAGCTAACAGCGGGGCAGGGAGACGCCACTGCTCCTGGTGACTCCAGGACAGGTGCGAAGGGCTTTGCATAAGAGGACAGCAAGACCCACCCAGACCACACCAGGACCTGAGACTGCCCAGGTCAGTTAACTGACCGTGGAAGACATCTGTCACTGGGGGCGCATGGCCAGGATTTCAAGGCAGAAGCCAGAAAAGCCCAAGTCACCTGCCCTCACTAACCCTGGCAGTGCCAGGCAGAGAATCCAGCTGACCAGGAACCACAGTAGCTGACCCCTCACACTTCTGACTCCAAGCTGGAGACCCGCCTCCAGGTACAAGGTCCAGGGAAGCCGTGTGTCCCACAGGCCACCCTGCTGACCTCTTCCAGCCCCCCATTGTCCCTGTAGCCTGCGCTCAGACCCAGGGTCCTGCCTCTGTGCCCCGGAAGCCCCCAGGCCCCAGTGAGCCAGGGGCCATGGCTGGCACAGGGGGGGAGGTGGGGACAGATGGCCCCCCAGCAAAGCGGCAGGTGGGCGTGGGCGTGGAGACAGGCGTGCTGTCTGTGCGGCCAGGCGGGGACTCTGGCCCACACGTCCTCCTGGCAGGCCTCCCGGTAGGTCGGCAGCCGCATGGATGGCGCCTGCGCCAAGCGCCGGCAGGCCGGGCGGCCACACCGCGCGGGCAGCGACCTGGGCTGGACGAAGGCCTCGGCCACCGAGCTGGGCAGGGAAGCGTGGCGAGGGCGTGGGCCGCGGGCCCAGGCCTCGCGCAGCAGAGCCTCCCGCCGAGCCAGCTGCTCCGGCCCGAGTAGCGGCAGATCCTCAGGCTCCGGGGGCTCCGGGAAGAGCGGGAGGAAGGGGCGCCCGCACCGGTCGGCTCGAGGAAAGGAGCTGTAGTGGCAGCGCTCGGGCGACAGGGGGCGCTCTGGGAGTGCGCGCCGCTCGGAGACCGAGAGGTGCCGCCCGCCGCGCCTGGCCTGCACCGGCCGTCGCGCCTCCCGGGGCGGCCAGCCCGACACCCGGGACACGTCTGGCAGCGACGGCCCAGGCGTCGGAGGGCGGCCGGGGAGCTGCGGAGCCCTGCGCCCCAGCACGGCACGACCGACGCCTGGCGGCCCCCGGCTCGTGGGGCTGGGCACAGGGGACGGGCCGGGCGTGGGCGGCCGTGGGCCAGGGCACGCGGGTGGTGGGGGAGCGCGGCGGCCGCTGCCCCAACTCTCGATGGTGCGCGTGGCGCGGTCCAGGGAGCTGCTCACGCCCGCCGTGGTCACCATGTCGCGCGCCGCCTGCAGCATCTTGAGCACGCTGGCCTGGGCCGAGCCGGCGGTCAGGTCCGGGCTGGGCGGCCGCGCGGGGCTGGCCAGGCTCTGCACCCCGCTGAAGCAGCTGTAGATGCCCTGGGCAGCCGGGAGGAGACAGCCATGAGTGACAACTCCTCTCGGGGACCGCCCGCCTCCCGGTCCAAGCACCAACCCAGACCTCCGAAGTCATAGGAAGCTACTAACATTCGTTAAGTGCTTCTTATGTGCCCGGCCCCGCGCCACTGTGAGAGCAATACTGTTATCTCTTCCTAAAGGCACACAGCTTGTAAATAGCAGTGAGGGTTCGAACCCGGTCAGCCTGGCTCCAAAACACTGTGGGAAAAGGGCTCTGCTTCTCTTCTGCTGTGTTACGCTGAAGG